ACTCATGGAGTCATAGACTCATCTTGTGAAAGTTCTCCTAGGTCCTAATTACTTGGGCTTTTCTCCCCACTGCACCTGGGAGTTTCAGAGGTTGCTCAAGCTCTTGACCTCCCTTGGGGCATTTTGGCCACAGTCTCCGCATAAACACTCAGAGCAGAGCCCTGGATGCTTCAGAAAAACATCACACAAAGTAGCAGGCTAGAAGAAGCAATCCAAGCCTTGGGCTGAAGGACAGGGGTTTGCATTACGAGTTGTTTGGCCTGATTCAACACCATCTCACTCCAGCCGCCACTACCGCTGGCGTGGACTATTAAAAGTTGCAGAACAAAGCCCAGTAGGGAGGAAAGAAACATCAACAAAGCAAAAATCAAAAAGGAGGTACAAAATGAGTAGGGAGAGTCTCTAGTTCTAGTTGCTTGTTCTGCTTGGTTGGTGGAGACAGACCCCCAGGGCTCAGCATCCCACCCGTCTTCTTTCCTCCTGCAGATATGAAGATGAGATCAACAAGCGCACAGCTGCGGAGAACGAGTTTGTGGTCCTCAAGAAGGTGGGTGACACTAGTGAGACCAGCTGGGAGTGTGGGCAAAACCTGCGTGTGGAGCCAAGGAGAGAAACAGAGAACCCTGGCACCATGACTCTGCCTCAGTCCTCATCGGGCAGCCCCAAAACAGAGGCAACCCCGTGAATTTGGAGAACCCCTACCAGGCTGTAAGCACACGCACCACAAACCCAGATGGTCTTCAGGGCTGGAAATGTCAAGGTTCCCCCTCAAATCTAAGAGAAAACACGGGCTTTGCCACGGTCTTTGTTTCTTCACCTTTTTTCACTGAATATATTATGTCTCTCCAGGATGTGGATTGTCTCTACCTGACCAAGGAGGAGCTGGAGGTGAGGGTGGGCCTCCTGCGGCAGCAGCTGGAGTTCCTCAAGTGCATCTATGCCGAGGTAAGAGCTCCCAGCTCCCTGAGTGCTGCCTTGGGGAACAAGGCACCCTCTGCCACCCCCTGAGGTCCTCACCAAGACTAAATGCAGGGAAAGGTGCCTTTTCTGCAAATCCTGGCATTGCATCCCCCAAATCTATATTTCTTTATGTGTATTTGGCGACACTATTGCACATGCTTCAGGAAGGCAAAGGGTGCTCTTGGCTTTCTCCTCCGTTACTGGCCGCAAAGTTGGGGATCTTTTGTATAGGAAAGCTCCTCAAATTCTAATCCAAACCATCCCTGGAACCCATTAAAACACCTCATTCTTCAAACCCCAGATATTTTTAGTGCTCCATCCCCTAAGCTGCATTAGTCAAAATATTTTGGTGAAAGTAACCTTTCACCTAAAAGTCAGCAAGTTTTTAACAAAACACAGAGGGAATGCTCTGTATTTGCACCTCTTCTAGCCAAACACCACCCAGCATGCTGTAGGTGACAGGGCCTGAATTACCCACCTCGAGGGGTTCACAGCCCAGAAAACTGCTGACAGAGCCAGAAACGCCAAGTTGCGACAAAGCGAGTTGCTCCACCAGCCTTCTCCAACCTTCCTTAGGGAACAGTATGCAGCAATCCCATGCTGTGCCACTGAAACAGGTCCCAGCTGCTGGGAACCAGTCACCCACCTGGCAAACCCAATGTTCTAGCTGGGTCTTAATGGGAGAACCTTTGTGAAGCCTCCACCTTCTCACTAGACCCCCGACTTTGCCACTGGAGTCGGTTGAGGGAAGGGGACTGACGTAAGACGGATCTTACAGGAGAGAGCTCAGCTGGATTGCCAGCTGTGTGACACCTCTGTCATCGTGCAAATGGACAACAGCCGGGACCTGGACATGGAGGGCATCATCAAAAGTGTTGAGTGCTGCTATGAGGAGATCGCCCAGAAGAGTAAGGCTGAAGTGGAGGCTTTCTACCAAACCAGAGTGAGTATTCACACACCAAAGCAGATGGCAAAGAAACCCCTTGGCCAGCGAAACTCTGAGGACCATTTCTGTCCTCGACAACACATCTTAAACTCACCCCATAGTGCATACACTGGAGAAAGTCATGCCAAAACAAAACCTCCCAACTTTAAAACCGTGGTTTGGGACTTTTCTGAAAAAAGAGAGCACAACAGACCTCAGTGTTGCTTCAGAGAGGTCTCCTCTGTGCACACCCATTGGGAACACCATCCTCTTCCCAAAGGGCAAGTGCTAAGGACCTACCCAGGTCCTGTCACCTTGTCTGGGCTGAGGTCATGTCTGAGAGTCAGACAAGGAAGGGGCGAGTGGGGTGTGTTAACATCATCCTCTTCCCATACGATAGCTGGAGGAGCTCCACAGCAGCAGGGGCAAGTTCTGCGACGACCTGAGAAACAACCAGAGTGAGATAGCTGAGCTGAACCGGATGATCCAGAAGCTGCAGTGTGAGTCAGATAACGTGAAGAAACAGGTAAGATGAAGGGTTGAATGCTGCATGGGCAGTGGGGCGTGCAACTGCTCCAGCAAAGGGCTTTGTCCTTACCAGCTCCCACCTTGCTGCAAAGACCCCCCCACCCCACCCCAGCGTATATTTGTTTGTTTGCTTATTTCCCACCTGCTGTTGATACACAAAGCATCAGATTTATTTCTCGCTTAACAAATAAGCAGAAGCCAGTTGGCTTGGCTGTAACAGAAAGAGTGCTTGCTCTGTGCTTCCTACTGGGGTGCAGCCAACGGGTCCCCTCCACTTCATCCCAAATAACTTGGCCAACGAAGACGTCCAGGCAAAATATCCGGCATATCTAGCTGAGAAACAAGGGGTAACATGAGCAACCCTGTGGAGATTCCTCTTCATGTCACCAATGGCCACCCTCTTGTCTGTTGCCATCCACAGATCGCGGCTCTGCAGACGGCCATCTGCGACGCGGAGCAGCGTGGTGACTGCGCCCTCAAAGACGCCCGGCAGAAGCTGATCGACCTGCAGACTGCACTGCAACAAGCCAAGGACAAGATGGCATGCTTGCTGAGGGACTACCAGGAGCTGCTCAACGTCAAGCTGGCCCTGGACATTGAGATTGCCACTTACAGGACACTGCTGGAAGGAGAAGAGAGCAGGTAAGAGCATCCCTGGTCGCACCTTGTAACCACAGCTGGCAAAACCCAACAGGAGGAGAAAGAGGCAGTGAGAAATGCTGAGTGGAGGCAGCTCCCCATGGGTGCAGAGGGGAACATCAGCCCTTTTCTCCCCCCAAGAGTGCAGAGGGGAGCATTGCCCCTCATTCCTCCTCATCCTCCTGAGGCAGTCGGATGGCAGCGCACTGAGCATGCTGCAAGATCCCTTGCTTGCAGTACAAAAAGAGGATAGGATATTAAAATGTCTGTGGGAACTGGGGATCAGACCCCGCAGTGCTTCAGTGGGCAGTTTGGACCAGAACTTCACAGCTGGGTGCACAGAAAAGCTGGAGTACCTGCAGGGTTTCTAAGAAAGCAATGGTTGGGCAGCACCTCTATGGGCTTGTGTATGTGAGGAATATTTCCCCAAACACATCTTTGAGACATTTGTTTTCTTTACAGGATATGTACCGGCAACCCTGTAAGCGTAGGTAAGATAACAAAGCATTCCCTTAATTTCCTTATAAACCTTCTTAGCTTATAAGTTTCCTTCTAAGCCTGTAAGTTTCCTTCTAAGCCAGGTTTTGGCTGCTCCAGGAGTGACTGAGCCTGTTTTCCTCCCACAGCTGTGGTCAGCGGCGGTGGTACCGTCGGGGAGTGCCGATCCCTATCTGGAATTGGAGGCAAATGTGCCGTCAAGACAGGAGGGGTTGGCGCGGGCTTGGGGGGGGGCTCCTCCTTCGGGGGCAGCGGCGCTGGCTTTAGCACCCGGAGCGTAGACTGCCTCCCCAGGGTGGGGGCTGGATTTGGGGCTCGGAGCGCGGTGAGCTGTGTGGGGCGAGAAGTCATCACCGGTGGGGAGGGGATGCAATGCGGGGCTGGAGTGGGCAACCTGGGCAACGTGGTGTGCGCCGGCGTGGAGCAGTGCAGCCCAGGAGCCGTCATCATCCCCGGGGCAGGGGTCTGCGGTGCCGGGAGCAGGTACAGCACAGCCGTGCGTGTGGTCAGAACAACTCGGTAGAGCCCAAGGGGCAGCGACAACGTCACATTTAAAAAGAAAAATCAGCATTTCTGCAGTAAAACAGTATTCCCCTTCCTCCCGACAGCTGTAGGGATCACACAACCATGCGCTGCTGCCCGTGCCCGCACAATTAGGCTAATCGCTCTGCCGGAAACATTTTGCATGATCAGAACCCACCTTCTCTTGCGTGTCCTTCTTGGGGGAAACTTACCCCCAGTCGGTGTCAAACGAGACTTTCATTATGGAGAGTCCGTACCTGTCCTGACACAGCATCTTGGCTCTTAAATCAGTCTTCTCTGCTTGACCCCGTTTCAGCTGGGTTGTTTTTTTTTTTTTAACCTGATGCAGCTATTGCAAGTCATCCCGACTTCAGAAAGAGAAGCCACTTTTTAATTGTCCAAGATGGAGCTGCAGCTATTATTTAACTTCTTTAATGACACCAGAAAATCCAATTTTTCCTGTTTACGAGAGGGTTGGTAATGCTTATGTAAATTGGTCTGAGTTGCTACACCGGGTTTGGTAGAGCAGATTTTAATTACACACCGACGAGCACCTTATACCTCTGTAGTTAAATGCATGCGTTGTTTTTCCCGTGTGTGTACCAGATAGACGGATTTAATGCTTTTAATGTGTAAGTGAACAGAGTTGATTACCCTTCGCTTACCCCGAACTTTCAGCTGTACCTTCAGTAAACTACATGCATAATTCACGCTTTGCTTCCTGGGTTTTATTTCCCTCCCTGATGTTACAAACACACAGAGATTTTTCTCAAACATGAAGCTCCTAGTGGGCGGGGTTGGGTCACAAGAAGGGGAGTTTTAACAAAGTGATTTTTTGGGGGGGGGGGCTTTGCCTTCCTGATGTGCTTTTGCATACCTTTATTCCATCCAGACACTAGTGTGGCCACAAGCAAGTCTGGGAACGTGGTGTAAAACCAGGACGTTTACCCGCTTGCAGGATGTGCAGCTTGCTTGGGATCTCTCGCTCTGTCTGAGTTCTCTGGAGGCAGAACAAAATAAATTAAAAAAAAAGCAGCCAAGCCCTTGTTTAAAGAAATCTGTGGGAATCAGCTCAGGTAGTAGCAAAAAAAAAATAAAATAGCTCCACACTCCATGCTCTCTCACAAGAGCAGGCTAGTTTTAAAGGAAAGCAGGAGAAAATTGTACCTTCCCAAAATGCAGCATCGTAGAATCGCAGAACCATTTAGGTTGGCAAAGACCCTTAAAATTATTGAGTCCAACCATTAACCTAGCGATGCCAAGGCCACCACTAAAGTATTGCTCTTCTTCCTCAAATACCCCTAAACCACATAAACTCACATGAAGAGCAGAGTCTCCAGGATGTGCCTGGACCTCCCCCTCCAACAGCCCTCGCAGGGAGGGGAAAACCCTCTCCCACCATCTCAGGAGATGGGTTTCAGGGGAAATCAGGTTGCCCCCTTCCTTTCCTCCCCAGTTTTCAAGGGACAGTGCCCCATGGTGAGGTGTCTATATGCCATGTGGCACTCATCACAGCTGGATGCACAGCTGGATGCCAGGAAAACCAGCCGGCCCTGCCATGGCTTGCCTGGGCACAGCCAGAGGCCCCTGTGAGAACTTTGCTCTGAATTGCCCTTTGGAGAAAGCCGTTTCTCCACACCACAGGGTGTGGGCAGGTTGATTCACCCCATGGGAAGTGCAGCGAGAACTGAGAGTTGTAACTCGTTCCCCAAAATCCCACACCGCTTCCTAGACCTCACTGCTGACTCACGGCTTGCCCGCCCCAACCTCGCCACGGCTGAAGGATGAGTTCCAGCACCCTTGAGCAACCTGGTCCAGTGGAAGATGTCCCTGCCCATGGCAGGGGGGTTGGAATGAGATGATTTTTGAGGTCCCTTCCAACTCAAACCATTCTATGATTCCATGATCCTGCCAGGCTTGGTTCTGCCCACACCAACGGCATGGTGATGAACCCATCACTGGTCGAGCATCTGCCTCTGCTTCTCCCCCAGCACCGAGCTGAGCGTGGTGGATTCAGGCTCCCCATGTCTGCAATGTTCGTCTTTTTTAATACGTGACGTGTCTTAGCAACACTGCCTGGGCTGGGCAGGGGGTCAAAGCCAAATGGATCAGCCCTTGCTGAGAAGGCAAAACGCACCCACCTAAAGACGACATTTTTCGAAGTGGCTATCTTCATCCTCTCTGTCTTCATGCATACGACTCAGACTTCATCTCATTTGTATGTAAATAACAAGCAGAAAGTCCCAAACAAGAAGCTTCCAGTGCCCCAGCAGCTCATAATTTATGTTGATCGCCTCCCTGCAAAACAATACCTGCAATCCCAAACCCAGCCAGCTCCCCAGGGTACCAAAGCAGCCCAGCAGCTCTTGCACTTCTGGGAGAAGGCCTTTAATCATCCCTGCCCTTCTCAACCCCAAAGTATTGCAAAACTCATGTTTTCTGCAGCCTGCTTGAAGATGTTCATGTAGATCAGGCCATTTTGGAGAGAAAGAAGAGGCCAGGAGTGTGGTTTTGGTAGCATTCTGGAGGCCGAACCCTGTTCAGTGTCCCTCTAGACATGCCCCGTGGTAGATAGACAGAGTCCAGTAGAGTTGATCCAAACTACCAAGTGCAAAAAGCCACATCCACCTCTGGGTATGGAGCACACAGACCTCAGCTCCTCCACACAATAAACCAGCCCAGCAAAGAAACGGTGCATTTTTCACCCAGCCCCTTCATCGCTCACATACCTGGTGGACAGCGGGCTGAAGGAAGAAAAGTATGGGAGCCTAAAATGACAATTCCCTCTTTCTTGTTGGCAGCCCCACCTTTAATCCCATTATATTCATTCATCTCTAATATCTGATCTGAACCCGTTTGTCAGCTTCAGGACAATCTGCCTTTACTGGGGTCAAGAAAGCATGAAGACAATCTCATTTTCCCATCGCACCCAGGCTTTGAAATCTATGCAAATCGCCAAGGCAATAGACGTTCATGAATTTCAAGTGACATCCCAGATTCAGACCGACGTGTTCCAAAGAGAAGCGAGCCGACCTGCACCAGCCGGGAATTTCGCAGTGCAATGGGAAATTCTGTTTGAGTGACCTGGTTTGAGCCTGCCTGGCAGCATTTCTCCAAGGATAATCAGATATTTGCTCTTCTCTAGAACACGAAGCACCTGCTCAATTTTTCTTCCAGAGATGCCAGTGGGTTTTGTAGCGTTAGGGAACACAAATGTATTTTGAAGGGCATGTAGAGTCCTGTCCTGCAAATCCATTTAAGCCCCAGTCATGCGCACAACACGGGCAAAACCACCAGGACAGCAACTGGCTGAAAATGAGCTGAGCTCTGAAGTACAAAGAATAAAATGCTCTACACGTTGTGCTTCCACAAAATCAGAGATGCCAGAAACTGTCACCACACCCTATTGAATTTGCTCTTTTTTTCCCATGGACTCCAGGAAGTAAAACAAGGAGAACTTGTGGGAGTTATTTTTCATGCTGGTTAAATCTTTGCTTTTGGCAACATTTTGAATGGAAGGGTTCAAAGGTCTTTAAAAGAAATCACAGCTGTAAAGAGCTAGAAACTCCAGCCTGATGACATCTTAATGTCATCATGCAAATAATACCATTCCATAAAGCTGAGTAAAGTGTTTTTTGTGGTTTTTTTTCAGAAAATTTGCCTATTTCATTGAAATGCCTTTTAGATGAAGATGAAAAATTCCTCAATCACATCATCGGTTGGCTGGGGACATCTGGATGGGATGGAGTTGTCCTCTGGAGATGACAATATCTCTAGAAAGGAAGCCTAGGAAACCTGGCATAGACTAAATATCTAATGCTGGATGGCCAACATTTGACATGGCATTTAAATATAGTGCCTCAGAGCGAAATCATGGATTGGCACCTCTTGGCACCAGTCAGCTCAAAAAGTCTCTGCATAAATACTGTGAACAGGCTGACTCGGCAAATTAGAGCTTGAAAGAGATGTCAGGCTTCATGAGCATCACACCCACGCTCTGTCTTTGAGTGAAGAAGCCCCGTGAAATATTTTTGTTAGGATTTAGCCGTTTTCTTCTCCCTGCTTTTCACTCAAGCTCATGCAGAGAAATCTCCACTAAGCTCTGTAGTGATCTACTGCATCTTGTAAGTAGCGTAGGTCTATCCGGGTAGCTACCTGTCCTTTTTCACCCTTCTTTATTAATTTTCTTTCTCTTTGCAGCTATGAAATAAAATAATATATCTCTGCAAGCACGCAGAGGCTTTGCCAAAAACCAGGGGGTTAGATAACTCTTCTAGCTGAGCAGATTCCACTGGCCCCAGTAGGTGTGTTGGAGTCAATCAGCGTTTAACAAGTTTCAGTAAGACAGCTGGCTGCCTGGCACGTCAAAACCATGAAGGCACTAAATTGATCGCTGGACTTCCCTGCAACCAAGCCCACATCCACAGGGGGGATAAAAAGGGCCTCCCGAGCTCCCTTCCACCAGAGAGCTGCCCTCTCTGTCTGCTGCTTCTCGCCGGTGCCGGGGCTGTCGTCTTCTGCCATGATGAACCGGCAAACTTATAGCACGAGAGCGGGAGGCGGAGGCCGATCTTACAGTGCTGCCTCAGCGATCGTCCCGAGCGGCACCAGGGCTGGCTTTAGCTCCATGTCTGTGTCACGGTCCGGAGGAGGTGGAGGTGGTTTTGGAAGGCTCATCGGAGGAGGTGGCGGTGGCGGTTTTGGCAGCAGGAGCCTCTACAACCTTGGTGGTAGCAAGAGGATCTCCATTGGTGTTGGAAGCAGCTTCCGAGCTGCTTTTGGGAGTGGAGCTGGTGGTGGCTCTGGCCTGGGAGGTGGCGGTGGTGGCGGCGGTGGATATGGTGGTGGCGGAGGTGGATTTAGCGGTGGTGGAGCTGGTGG